CCTTCTGCCTGTTGGGTGTCTTCATGGTGTTGTGGCCGCCACTGTCCCGGTGCCTCACCAGCACCACCTGCCCGAAGGAGCCGGTGCCAGAGTCTTGAGCAGCTCAAACTGAGCCGGGCTGGCGGTGTTCTGAACGGGGTGTTCCCACCTGTAGAGGAAATCTTCTTTCGCTCTGGCAGGGAACTCTTTCATGTCCTCCTACTCGGTGTCCTTCTTGGCGGGGGAGTTGCCCATGGCAGTGGTGGCGGCCGGGGCGGGGGTCTCTCGGCCGCGGCAGCAGCGGTGGCGCTGCCTGGAGCTGGCTGCGTCGGCTGCGGGGCCGCGAGCCCTCCACCCACTCCCCGCGCCCCGGGTCCCAGCTTACGGTCCCAGCTAATGGGAGGCCGAGGTGGGAGGATTCCTTGAGCCTGGCAGGGTGAGGCTTTCATGAGCCAAGATCACCCAGCTGCCCTCAACAATATGGATAAATCAAAAAGGCATTATGCAAGTGAGAGAAGCCAACTCTAAAGGGGACTTAGGGTGTGAATCCATTTCTTTATTTACTTTATTATTTTACTTACTTTATTATTATTATTATCATTTGTAGAAGTAGGGGTCTCCCTATACAATCATACTGGTCTTGAGGTTCTGCAATCAAGCAATCCTCCTGTCTCAGTCTCCCAGAGTGCTGGTATTACATTTGTGAGCCACAGCACCCAGTCATCCAATATTCCTGATGCACATAGATGCAAAAATACTAAAAAAAAAATAGTAAACTAAATTGAACTGCAAACGGAAAAGATCATCCACTGTGATCAACTAAGATTCATCTCAGAAATGCAAGATGGTTAAACATATGCAAATCAGTAAACATGACACATCACATTAACAGAATGAAAAAAATCATATGAATGTTTCAGAAAAGGCAGGAAAAACATCTGATAAAATGCAAAATCTCTTCATGATAAATATTTTCAACAAATTAAGTATAGAAACTATAGTTCAACACATTAAAGGCCCTATATGACAAACCTGCAGCTAACAGCATACGGAACAGAAAAAAAATTGAAATTTTTTTTCTGAGGTCTGGAATAAGACAAAGAAGGCTCCTTTCACCACTTCTATTGAACATACTCCTGGAAATCCTAGTCTGAGCAATCAGGCTAATTAAGAGAAAGAAATCAAAGGCATCCAAATTGGAAAAGGAGAAAGTTCAACTGTCCTTTATTGCAGATGGCATGATCATGTTTATAGAAAACCCTAAAGACTCAAAAAAAAAAAAAAAAAACCTTTTAGAACTAATAAACTAAGTTTTTAGGATAAAATAAATGCACAAAAATCCATTGCATTTTTATATGCAAATAGTGAACTATCTGAAAAAGTAATTGAGAAAACAATTCCATCTATAATTGCTAGGAAATAATCAGACATCTAAAGAGAAATTTAACCTAGGAGGTGAGAGATCTCTACATTAAAACCCATAAAATACTGAAGACAAAAATTGAAGAGAACACAAACAAATGGAAAGATTTCTGTGTTCACGAATTGGAAAAATTGATATTGTTAAAATGTTATTAATATCCAAAGCATTCTAGAGATTCTATACAATGTCCACCAGAGTATTAATGATATTATTCACATAAAGAAAAAAATCTTGAAATTTGTGAGGAACCATAAAAGATCCAGAATAGCCAAAGTAATCTTGATCAAAAAAATAAAACAAACAAAAGCCAAAGCTAGAGGCATCATAATACCTCAAAATATACAACAAAACTAGAATAACCGAAATAACATGCTATTGGCATAAAAGCAGACTCATAGATGAATGGAACAGAATAGATGTCCCAGAAATAAGTCTATACATTTAAAGCCAACTGATTTTCTACAAAGGTGACAAGAACATGCATTGGGAAAATACCAGTATTGTCAATAAATGGTACTGGAAAAATTGAATATTCACATGCAGAAGAATAGAGCTGGACTCCTATCTTTCTCCATATACATAAATCAACTTGGAATGAATGTGAGACTTAAATGTAAGACCACAAACTATAAAACTACTAGAAGAAAACATTGGGGAAAGAATTCATGACATTGGGCTGAGCAATGATTTTTAAATTAACACTCTGAAAATGCAGACAACAAAATTAAATATAGACAAGTGGGATTACATTAAATTAGAAAGCTTTTGCACAGCAAAAGAAACAATCAATAAAGTGGAGAGACAACCTAGTGAGTAGAAGAAAATATCTGCAAGTGATACATCTGAAAAGGGGTTAAAACTAGAACATTATAAGAAACTCAAACAATCCAATAGCCAAAAAAGAAAAAAAAAAGAAAAGAAAACCAAATAATCCAATTACAAAATGTGCAAAGAAACTAAGTGGACATTTCTCTAAGTAAGATAAACAAATGGCCAACAGGTGTATGAAAAAATTCTCAACATCACTTTTCATTAGGGAAACGCAAATCAAAACCACAATGAGACATCTTACTCCAGTTAGAATGTCTATTATCAAAAAAAAAAAAAAGTTAACAAGTATTGGGTAGTATGTGGAGAGAATAGAACTCTTGCACACTGTTGGTGGGAATGTAAATTATTAGTACAGTCATTTACATAATGTGTGATTTTATCCTTGCAAGTACCCCTTGATGTAGTTACAGTAATTATTTCAATTACAGAGGTCACACAATTGGAAGCGCAGAATTCGGCAGGAACTAAACCCAGGTTTGTCTGAGCACCCAGTTCTAGTTCTCAATAACTGCACTGTGCCTGTTAGTCAAAGGCGTAGCAATGCTTTAAAATGAGGCAGCTAACTTGTAACAAGACTGCCTTTCCTTCTCACTCTAAGTGTAGTTTATTCTCTGAAGTTTCTGATGGGTAGTACTAGGACACCAATTTACTGAAGGAAATGTTTCAGAGGCTATTTCTCCTTATTTTGCCAAGATTAAAGGATTCGGAAAAAAGAAGGATTTGATTGATGGCAAAGGAATTATACAGAGAATGGAGGATAGAAAGATGTATTCTGACTTTCACTTTTTCAAATAGTTTCATAAATTTTTAGGTATTGCCAATCAAGAGATTAGTAATGGTAATTAAAAAAAATTTAAACAACCATGGTGACTACATTCTTTAGCTGAAAAGCACGAAAAGTATATTTCTAATTTCTTCTTCTTTTTTTAAATTTGGATCCCTCCCAAGTTGAATTTGTTCAATAAACACTAAGCACTCACTATGAGCCAATAATGATCATGGCTAGGTATGTAAATATAAAACATGCATGTTCTTTTGCCCCAAATGGGTTCATTTGCAGCCCATGTGGCCACATTATGATAATAATTTGACAAGATCTGCAAGACACCTTGACAAATTTAACATTTTTGGTTACAATCATTCTGAATTACTGAAGGTTCACAGACAAGGATAATTTATTATTTTGCATAAGCATGGATCGAATCGCTCAGGCTTTGGGGTTGATGTAAGAAAAGAAACAGATCATTTAATCAGCAAAGCTGATATTTTAGTATCTATATCTTACTGTTGCCCTAATGCCACATGAAGTGATAAAAACTTTGTATCTGAAAAAAAAAATCCAACTGTAGTGCTTATAATGAGTGTGAGGAGCAAGTGAAGCAGTCTAAAAAAAAATGCTTGTTCTTTATACAATATAGAAATGTTGGATAATTTAAGAAGTAGCATGTCAAATTCCTTTATGAGTTTGGATATATGACAGGATTGTGCCACAAGCTTTATATAAGTGGCCTTCAATGTTTTTAAAAATCCATGACCCATCTAAAAAAATTGTTCCACTTTACAATGTAATCAATACACACACACACACACACACACACACACACACACATACACACGCACATCCCGCCAGTGAAACAAAACTTCCATAACGCAATACTTGCCCTTACTTTATGTCATATACTTTGACATTTCACTAATTTTTTTTCTTTTTCTATTTCATTTTTTGTTTCAAAGATAATTTTAATAGTTTTTCTTATGAATCAGTTCCAAATAGAGACCAACCGTCATTTTCTTAAAACTTTGTAACTTGCAGTCAAATATATGGATTCTGTATAGTACAAACATTTCCCTACATCAATCAGCGTCAGTTGGAAAGCGCCTCTCCTTAAAAAGAGAATAAAGACTCACCTTCCAGGTAGTGATCACTGCATAAGTTTCATGGGGGATATAGAAAATATTTATAAATATGAAATTGCCTCTAAACAACGCAAGGTACATCTCCATCACTTGTATGAAACAATAACATGAAGATCAACCTGTTTTGTCTTCTCCAGTGAAAAGTAAAACATTTAATTTCAAGCATAAACAGATGAAATGTTGGCATGCTTACTTAAGTTCTGAGCAATAAACAGTTCAAGATAGTTCAAAGACAAGAAATCCAGTTTTCATCTAGATAAAATGCTATCCTCTTCATTGTTGCAAAATGGCCACTAACATTTTCCATTTCAATTTTAGTTCACATTATGCCCAAAGTTTGCATGTTCATTAGCGGATGCATTAGGTAACAAAAATATGTTCACAGTTTATTATAGTGTACGGAAGTTAAGTGACTTCCAAAGGAAGCCAAGATCTATGACTCAAAAACCAGCTCAACAGCGAAACACCAAACGACCCTTTTAATTAAAGGTACCGGTACTCAAATGCTCTAATAAATACATATACAATAAAAGTGAAAAAAGTAACTACAGTGAGATGAGGTTCTTCCCCCCAAAATTTTGTCTTCTCAAGCATTTTAGGAGTCTGAGCCAAAGCAACAGCGCCATTTTGTTCATTCCTCCCCCTGCCCACAGACACTTCCTTTGAGCCACCTTCCTACCCAGCTAACTCTGGTATTCCCTCTAGGGAAGGTTCTGTCTCAGCCCTGGGACTCGCCAGTGCCTCAGTAAACAGATGGGCTATGTTAAAAAGTTAAGTCGTACAATGTGCTGATGGCTGGAAAGATGCAGTGCCTTTGCTATTCCCGATAAGGAACAATGTCGGTGCTGACTGGCTAAGGGGAGGTTTGCCAGCCCGGCAGCCACTGACTGCACACATCAGCAGGAGTGGAAAGATACCTTGAAAAGCTTACAGTGCTGGATACAGAATAAACACAACTCACAGGGCCTTACAGAAGAAGTGTGCCTGAAAATAAACAGCATAGAGTTATTTTCCTGAAACTTGGTTTTGGTAGAAAGTTACAAAAAGTAACTTTTCATTGTCCACAAAAATTTCTGCCTTTTGGCTTTGCCCGCCCTGAGCCTTCTTAACCCCTGGAATTCTAACAGCAAGGTCAGCACAGCCCAGTGCCAATGCCAGCCAGCACCAGCCACCACGGACAGCCTCTCTTCACCCTGTTCCGTGTTGAGGATGATTTTAGTATCGAGGTCACTCACTTTTCAACATTTCCACTTGCACAATATTAAAGCTATAGTTGCAACCCTAAAAGGTCATTATCTACCCAATTCTTCTGTCCTTGTATCAGAAAAGAGGCAGAGGAGTTGAAAATGGGTAGCAATGCTTCCAGGGACAAGTTAAAGGATTACATTGTAAGAAGACCCTGGAAGCCCTAGGAGTTTAGCAAACGCTTAAAATAGACTGTAGACACTCATAGGAAATGTCATTCTAATACAGCCAGACATAACGAATGGCATAGCTTTCACCCAATCCTAAAATCAGCAACTGTTATTCATATAAATCTGACTACAATCTGATTGCAGTTAACTCTACCTCAGACCGAAATAAAACCAAGAGTAGTGTTGCATGTAAAAACAGAAAAGGAGAGAGTCTAACACAGCCAGACCATTGAGACTTGGAGTGATACTATTAGTGGGCCACTAGGGAAGAAGAAAGACTGCAGAGAAAACAGGTAATAGTGCTTTGAACATTTCCCCCCACTTGAATTAGTCCCACAGTTCTTTTAAGTTACTCTCTTGACTGATAGAATAAAATATATCCAGATTCTGAATTTTTTGATATATCTGATGTCAGGCCATAGAATTCTTCAACAGCTTGCGCATCTATTTTCTCTACAATGTCATCATCAAACAAAAGCCAGAAGCCGTGACTTTTCACAATAGTGATATAATGCCCACGACTAGGACCACTGCCACCGTGAACAACCACAGCAACCAGGTCATACATGCGGTCCAGGTTCACTGCATCACTGGAGGTGTCGAAGAGCCAGAGCTCCAGAGGGAAGACCACGCGGTAAGACAGCTTGGTGTATCTGTGCAGCTGCTCCATGTACTTGAACCGCTTTAGATGCAGGACCAAGATCACGGGCAGCTTTTTTACTCTCATCCTTTTCTGGGCTTCCTGTTTGCTGCAGCATGTTTCACAATAATGTTTTTGTTCACTACACAGTGTTTCTGTGTTGCTGAAGTCTCTTAGACAGTGGATAATGGATGTATTCTGCTCCACATCAACAGAAAGTTCAAGAAAATCTTCATCTTTGCTACTAACAGTTTCACAGTTCAAGCATCGAGTTTCATTGGTGAGCGTTCCCCGAAAAATCTCATGGATCCAGGTGAGTTCTGGTTTATTATTTTCCGCAGGTTTGTTCATGTTGCCATTTTTAAATTTTCCGTTTTGTTTTTCCTGTTTCTTCTCCTCCTGCAGGATATCCGCAATAGTGTTTAGCAAATAATTTAAAAATTCATGAGCATCCTTCTGCATGTAGTTATCAAAGAGATCATTCTCTTTTCTCAGCCTTGAAACGAACTTCTTTGGTGGGATGACGCCAACCTTCTTCTTGAAGGTTGCGTGGCAGGGCTGTGGAAAAGGTCCGCCAGGCACGTCAGCAAGTTTTCCTTCTTCTTTTGCTGGGCCTTGTATGCCAACACATTCTCCTGGAACGGGCGGGCAGAAGTGCAACACCTGAAGCACAGAGTTACAGTAGCATGTGTTTCCAAAATTGACCAATCCGAAATAGTGTTCACTGATTGGAAACTGCTCTGAACCAATGTCTTTTTCCAGAGCAGAGGCGTTGGTGCCCATATTACAGATGGAGGCGATGTTTCGGACCGTCATTAGTCTAAAGGTTGCAGCGATCCCTCACCGCCATCTTCACAAGGGACAATCGGGACTGCCCATGGTGGCGCCCTGGCGGGGAGGCCGGGCGGCAGCGCCGCGGCCTGGGGTCCGGCTTTCAGTTTGGCTGGGAGAGGGAGGCTGGGAGGAGGAGGCGGCCTCTATTTCATTTTTAAATGCTGATTGTGACCTACTAAACTGACTTTATGATTCACTAATGGTTTTTAACTTCTAGCACGAAAAGCACTGCTCTATATTAATAAGAAGAATGAATAAATGAGTGAATAAGACAGAGATGAAGCTGCTTCAGCTGGTGGTCCAGCTGGAATTTATTTTAATAGTACTGTAAATTATTTTAATCCTGTGTTTATAGAATCATTAAAGGTCTTATAGGGTAACTTAAATTTTTCATTTATTCTCCAGTGCACTTTATGGGAAAAATTATATAATACAGTAATACTTGTGAATACAGGGGTTTGCAGAGCTCTGGGGTGGAAGTAAGGTATAATCTCTGTAAGTAAAACGCTTGAAGAGTAAAGATGGGTGAAGGACTGTTTGAGTGAGTGGTCTAGGAAAGCACATTTAATATGGCTTTGAAAGATGAGTGGCGTTTGACAGAGTTCAGAAAAGAGCAGTTCACACTGGAAAGGTGTGGTCTGCTTGGGAGTTAAATGAGAAGTAAATTGTATCTAAGAGGCATACAGGAAGATATAGTGGGACTAGTTAGATGAGATTAAAATACACCAGACAGCAACAATCAGATCCTAGTCATTCATTTTATGTGATGAAACTTGAGGCTCTTTTCCATTGAATTAGTGGACCATTTTTCAAAGAAATTGACTATTTTATCACAACTTGAACAGAACAGGATTCCAGAGTATCTTCAGGGTTTTGAGTGGAACTCAGGAAATAAAAGGTAGAAGAAAATTTGTGAGATTATTTCTGTTCTAGATAGCAAGCTCCATAAAGGTAAGGTCCTGAGTTTGATTTATTCATATGTTCTAGCTTGGAGCATAGTAGCACTTGAGGTATTTTATAAATGAATGAATCAATGAGTGAATGTGTAAAGAAGGGCACAGGTTACCTTGGTGATGACTCTTGAACTCTTCTTTCCTAAGGTCCTTTGTCCACTGATGTAGTTATTTAGAGAGCTTGCTTGATTATAATCCCAGTACTATTCAAATTCAGTACTCTCTTTCTGTCTTCTTCCTGGGCTGATCTGTCCTTAGTTTCATAAACACTTATTATAATATTCTGTCTTTGTGGTTGCTGTTCTCTTAGAATGTCACCTTTCTCTACACAGTCTTTTAAGTATCTTAGTCAGCATTCATGGTGCTCCAAATGAAATTTGCTTCTCCATGAAGTCTTACTTGGGGTACTTCAGCTTTTGTAGTACCCTTGATTCTCTTCTTACTTACTACTTACTAAATGATTAATTAAATAAAAGTAATTTAATAAGTGTTGATCATTTAATAAATTTGTATTTAAGAGAGCTGAAAGATGAATAAAAGTACACAATACTAACAAAACAATTATATAGAATCTTATTTCCTAAACACTGTTAACATTTTGTTGCATGAAATTCCTCACATTTTATTATGTTTATATTGATGAATTTATACTACAGACATATATGCGGGTATATACAATAATATACAAATATATATGTATGTAAATTGGATTCAAAAGGCACATCCATCTTATATAATACTTTTTATTTAATAAAATGTGTTTCTCCTTATTTTCCTGAATATTTCTTAAGTACATCACTTTAATGTCTATAGAATATTTCATAATATTTAAGCATATATTTAATTAACATTTTTAATTTTGTGAAGGACATTTAGGTTGTTTTCAATTTTTTCCTTTTAAAAAATTCTTTGGTAGATATCCTGATAGCCAAAATTCTATATTTGTGCAATTTTTTTTACGTAAGTAAATAGAAATGAAATTAGTTGGAAAAAGATTATAAGCATTTTGAATAGTATTGCTAGATATAACAAAGGACAAGTTGCCCCCAACACCTCTCACATTATTGCAATTTGCACTCTAAGCAGGTTATGAATGCTTATTTCTCTATGTACTTATCAAGTCTCAGTCTTAGCATGCTTTAGAGCCTAGTAATTTGAGAGCTGAAAAATGTCATTGAGTGTGAATTGTTTTTAACAGGTGGGCTCTAACATTATTACATATATCTACTTTCCATTTTTCTTTCTTTCGAAACTTGTTGTTCATAGCCTTTGTTTATTTCTTAACTCAGATTTTAATCATTTGCCTTTTGCTTTAAAGAGCCATTAGTTTTTATGTGTCCTCTGAACTTCCACGGCACTTGTCTACATGCTCATATAATGTGGACTATATTGTTTATATTATGTGTGTGTGTGGGGGGGGCTGCACACACATATATATACACACACATACACAAACACACACACATGCCCACACACACCAACTAGATTATGGGATTCTGGGCAAAAATAGTCTTATTTTTTTTTAACTCCTATTCTTTAAGGAGTACTGTGGGTAAATGAAAGAGTCATGCACTGTGGAATTCACTAGAGCTAAGATAAAAATACCAGCATTTTACTTGGTCAGGCTCCTCAATCTTAAACCTTAGTTTCTTCCTGCTGAATAAAGAGGGCAAATAATACTTTTTCTTCAGAAGATGGTAAAGAGTAGATAAAATAATTTATGTAAGGCCCTTGCAGAGTGAGCAGCATATTGTGGAAAGTTATGAATATTAACAACCATTCTTCTTATTTGGTTTTTGCTTAGCATTTATCACAATAGTTTGGAAACACACCAGGTGCTTAATAAACATAATACATAAGAATAATAACAATAGCCAATTCTGTTGGCTATTGTTAACAGAGCCAACAGTGAAATAGTGAAAATAATGTTTATTAATTTGTTTTTCAATATAATACTTAGCAAAATTTAGATCAAAGTTTGGTTTCTTCCCTTGTACATGCCATTTCCATTTTATTTAAGGTTTAAATAGTGGTAGACATAACAAATTTTCAATTCTCATGCCCAGGCTGCATGTGGGCATTTTACAAGCCACTTCTTCCCACTCTTAGTAAATCAAGAATAACTTTTAAAAAGTACTTTTCTACATTTTCCCTTTCCCACATGAAATTCATGACATCTGCACTGGTAGATACTTGAATGGCTTTTCCAGGATAAGGTTGTGGAATGCCCTAGTCCAAGCAATTCCATATCTCAATTTGGAATTCTGTTTCAAGGGCTGAATTCGTCAATAGATGTTTGTGACACTTTCCCTTTAGGGATATCTGCTGTCTTGATCTAAATTTCACCAAGCATGTAATGCTTAGAAACACTGAATTTGGCTTTTTTTTTTTTTTTTTTTTTGCCACAACTTGTTTTGTAGCACCATCACTTAAAGAGCCAGGGAAATTTGGAGAATTCTTTCCAGGGAAGCTGAAGAATTTCTTACAACTGCAGGGAAAGTTTTCTCCTTCGACTGATAATGTCTTTGAAAATAAAATCAAACATTCTGCTTTTATTTATTTCTTAATTTATCTTGTTGGACCTGCACAACAAAAAGACTTTATGAAATCTATTTTTAATTATTTCCCAATCCCTGTCTGCAATAGAGGGAATCACTCCCATTCAGCTGACATTCTTTCTCTTGATTCTTCTGGCTTCTCATTCAGTGTCACCCAATCTTGCCAGCAGCAACTATAAATCCATAAATAATATCACTTTAATACTTCCTTATTGATCTAGACATAGCAGAAGCTTGACCGTGTGTTTACTGGTCCCATATCGTTTTCTCATCCGTAGGGATCTTCCTCTAAATTCTCTACTGCTTCCTTCATAGGGAAAGATAAAATGGAAGATAGATCACCCTTGCCTAGCTATTTCTGTCTCTTCAATTTTCTGACTTAGTTTTCAGAGACAGACAGCTATTTTCTTTACCATTTTTCCTTCTTAGGAGGAAAATCAAAAAGAAATTCTGTCATCTGAGACATTGCTGTCCATTTTCGTGCCCTTCTTTTCATCCATATTTCACTTGCGTTAGCTTTTTTAGACTTGAGTTAATCTTCTAACATAAAGTTCTCTCACAGCGTCTTTTTTCACATCAGTTTTTTGGGTATAATTTACCTATCAAAAAATTTACCCTCTTTCCTAATAATTTTGAGACAAAGTAATATGGAGTAATAAGAGAAAAAAATATCTTTTTGTTCATATATTTTCTATTCCCACTTTTTAGTTATTTCTTTGTTGAAAATGAAACCTACTTTTGATATTTGTGTGTTTTAAAAAATTTTTTTACATTGTTTCTTATCAATTTATTTCTGTTTTCTTTCACATTGGATCAATGCTTTATTTGGTCTATGGTATACCTTTCTCTCTGGTAAACATTTATGTATTTATATTTTATTATTGGACCTCAGATCATTATTATTAATTATTAAAGCTCAGATTTTGGAAGCACTCAATGATTTTATAAACATCTAAGGATCCGTCATTGAAATATTTGATATAGTATTAGCCATACCTAGCAAACTGACGACTATCTAAGACACCAAGCATAGCACAATAGCAGAAACAGGACAAAATTAAATCATTGCACAATATACATTATAGTCTAATTAAAATACATACTAGGGATTGTTATTATAGATAGAAGAAGGATGGCAACTAGAAAATATTGATTTTACAGGATACTAAATTAAAAATATTTCTAAGCTTAGTGAATATCTGGCTTCATGTGCATGCCTACCAAATCATGGGAAGAAAGTCGAATATATGTACTAGGATTCATTATTTCACAAAATAAGAAACTATTCATGGAATTCCTGCTAGTGCTGAAGTCTGATTTTAGGGACTAGCATTACAATGAATAAAGGCTGACAAGTTTTGCATACTAGATTTGTATTGTCAGATATAAAAGACATTACTCACATGTAGCTAAATTAATTAAGATTAAGTAAAATTAAAAATTGCATCCCTTAGTTTCATTAACCACATTTCAAGTGCTCCTTAGTCACATGTGACTACTGTCTATTTTGTTGGACAGA